GGCTCCGGTATTTCGGTAGGTGCTGGTAGCTCCGCTGCTTCGCCAAAAAGTTCGTAAGTTGCTTCCTGCTCCTCTGATTTTTCTTCCATTGGCTCTGGTGTGTCAGGGGCATACTGGTCTGGAAGAGGAGGGCCACCCCAGCTGGTGCCTCGTGTTGCCCAGTAAGGGTCGAACTCCGCTATTTCGGCGGAAGGAATTCCCGGAGCTTCCGGATATGTCGGGGCCGCCTGCCCTAACTCTGCTTCGCCTGTGGAGGTGTCCCAGCCGCCTTCTGCTGCTTCTGTTGGAGGAGGGGGAGTTCCCCATCCGGTTGTGCCGACCTCTCCTGTTGTGACGGCGTCCCATCCGCTTGCGCCTGCTTCTTCTGGAGCTAGGACTTCTCCCCAGGGCCCGAGCGCGAGCTCGGGATTGCTCCAATCCGTCCATCCCGCTTCGGTTGTTCTGTTTTCCTGCGTTGCAGGTTTTGACGTGCCGCTGTCTTCTTCCATTGTGGCAGGTCCGGTCTCCGCAGGATTAGAGGTCGAGGCAGTCGGAACGGTGCGTAGCCGCAGAAGGCCGTCCGAGGCGGGTCGCTCGAGGTCCATCTCTGTAGGATGCGACCAGGTTGGAGCTTCGGCAATGGTTGTCTTCAACAGCAAGGTGCGGTGAGAGTCTCCTGAGGTGCCTTGAGCTGAGAACTGTAGCACGAAGACTCCGTCGTTGTCCACAGCTTTGCCGATGTAAGTGTTGCCGTAGAAGAGTTCGAAGGTCTTGTCCTTGCGGTTGCTGCGAATGTCGACTCTGCACCACATAAGTTGAGCCGAGGAAAGCAAGTTGTACCGCAGATCTGGAGCGACAAGCATGTCGCCGATGTGAATCGTGAAGTATGTGTCGTCAGCTTCAAGGAAGATCTCACCGATGTTGTATGCTTTGAAGGTGCCGTCGTTTGCCATTGTGATCTCGCAGGGTCGTCGCATGCGTTTGGAGTTGGTGATGAATGTTGGCGATCCCACCATGTGCTGTCCGCAGCAACTGTCCAGGTACCAGGTGTTGATGTTCTCACGGCTTTGCCTCGCGATGTTGGCGATTTTGGGCGTAACCACGCGATCTCTTTCGCCAGTATATGGCGAGAGGGCGAAGTACCGGTTTGCCGATATGCTGGGAGGCGATTCTGGTGTCGGTGGTGGCAGCTCGAAGTCAGGTGGGTGCCTTTGCGGTGAGTTGGTCTAGGAAGGGGCAGTGGGATCGTTGTCTTGTCTTGGTGAGACAGGATTGGCGGGATCGTGGAGCGCGAATGTTACTCGATCATAGTATCGGTACCCTCTGTTGCGGCAAGCCATGCAGCTCATAATTGTCCCTTTCCCTTTATCCTTTGCTGTGATGAGTGCAGGAGATTGGGAAGTGCTGGCAACGGAGGGAGGCGAAACCGTGGAGGTTGCAGCAGAAGGTTTTGCTTGCGCCGAGGGTTGCTGACTGTGGGTGTTGCGCCGTTTGTCAGCAGCCTGGCATTTGTAGCACTGGTCGATAGTGTGGCCAGACTTCTTGCAGTATTTGCAAAAGGCTCCTTTCTTTCCGCGCTACTCCCCTTGAGATGATCCGACATAGAAGACTAACTTTTCCCGCTTTGTGTTTTTCTCATTGTACAGGTCGATCTCCTTTTGTTCGGAGAGGAGTGTGGCGCACAGAGCCGATTTGGAGACAGTTGCTCGAGCACGGAGCAAGGATTGGCATTGACGCCAGTCGGGACCGAGACCAGAGAGAACCATTGAGACGAACAAGTCGTCAGGAACGGAGCCGCCGCACTTCTTGATGTGGTCGTGCAGATTGCGGCATCAGTTGATATATGGTCCCGCTTTCTCTCCTTGATGCATTTTGACCGATGTCAGCTGGCTGAGCAGGCGACTCATTGTGACTGGGTCTGTTGCCATGTATGAGTTGCGCAGGTGCTCCCAAGAGGCGTACGCGGGTGCCCACTCTGATTTATAGGAGCAAATGCTGAGATGTTCTTCGAGGGAGAGATTCCGGAGCATAGTGGTGTACGCGAGAAGAGATTCGTGGTAATACTGATTCTTCTCTTGGATGGTGCCTTCCGTCGGAAACGGTTAGCTCCTATCATAGTACATCCAGATTTGCGCGGTTGTCGCGAGGAGCTCGAACTCAAAGCTCCAAGTGTAGAAGTCCTTTCAGTTGAAGGGAACTGATGTCTTCAGCTTTGAGGTCAGAACGAATTTTGTCTGCATTGTTGCAATTGTATCTGAATGTGCGCGTTGTTGACTGGCTTGCGCAGGAGCTGAAGCTTGACGGTTGTCAAATGTGAACGACCTCTCGGAGTTGACACGGCGGTCTTCTCCAGGGAGAGGGAGTCCAGCAACTCCACGTGCATAGCTTGAGCCATCGACGCTCATTGCTTGAGCCATCGACGCTCATTGCTTGATGGCTTTCAAAGGCGTTGATGCGGGCGACCAGCTGCTCAACGAGAGCGGCGCTGACGGAGGTCACCGCTGATGGTGCAGTGGGTGTTGTTGCTGATGGTGGGCCCGGAGAGTCTGCAGTGGCTTTTCCTTCTGGAGCCATAGTGATGCAGAGTCCTTAGTGATGTAATGAATAATTTATAATGGGATTGTTCTAACAAGAACAGGAACTTGGTAGGCCTTATAATCCACTCTTGCTCTCATACCATGCTAATATAACCGAAGGATCGTAGTGGACAGGATAAGGTAGCCAAGTGTGAAAGAAGAGAACTAGAAGTCTCTGTAGTGACCTTGTTAATAAGTTGAGAGAAAACAAGATGATTATAAGATGGAAGTACAAGGATATAAATAGCATTCCTAGCTAGCCATGTACTCTGAGGGGTACATTCCCTTATTTAACTGAATTGCATTGCTACAGTAATCCACGACTATTGCCATTCTAGACAGTTACCACGTTCCACTTTGTAACTGCCTCGTGCGGTTACTGGGCAGTCAAGGGTCACGACTGTTGACTGTCTTCGACCGTTGACCTTCGGGTGACCCTCGGACTTCCGCGTGCTCTACATGAGCTATTGCGGTACTAGTACAGACGTACACTTCGTTATGGAGTGACGCGAGAGTGGGGAACCTTCGGGAATGTTTTATAATAACCTTTCGGTTATTCCAACACCCGGATAGTAGGCATATATGTCTTATCTCTTACACTACTCAAAATGTTCGGGTTATCTTGTACCGTATTTGGGACGGTATATGGTATCTTATGAATCTTATAAATGGACAAAGAACCGTTTACAAGATACCAGGGCCTCATATTCGTTTTGGCCTACGCTGAAAAATCAAAGTTGGTACAAAACGTTTTGCTGAAAATCAGACAAATACATAAGCCAATTTAGAAAGCTTACTTTCTCGCATATAGCAATTGTCATCGTCTCATTTCAAATGGGTTTAGTACAATTGAAATCCAAGCAATAGCATTACATTGGTGTGCTTATTCTGACTAGGCTATCCTATTTCCAAGGGGGGGGTGGGTGGGAAAATTGGCTAAACCGTTTGAAAATGAGAGACGTGGGTGGAGGGAAATGACTCCCAGCCCACGTTTTGTACTCCAAAACGAGCGATTAGCGCGGTTCGACGCTGCCCATTCCTACATTACAAGCAGCTTCGCTTTCAAATTACATAATTTTGAAAAGCGTTACAGCTTTTAAAAATATACATTTTTATGCCATTTTTCACTGCAAATCCACTAAAATTTCCTGTTTCTTCTCAACAAATTGCTGAAAAAACAGCTTCAGTTCTAAAAAAGGTCTGAAATCTCAGCCTTTTTTACCTAAATCAGTTTTTTTTCGCTGACTTCTGAGGCCCTGCTCTGAAACCATGTTATGATTAGGAATGGTCTGATTAGGTGGGGAATGGGGGTACAAGCAAGAGAGTTGGGGAGAATTGTGTACCCCCTAAGGGCGTATTCCTATCGTCCTATCAATTTGACCTCCTATCAAGCTCACACTGAAAAATCCCCTAAACCCAAAACCTCTCGCTACTTTTCACAGGCAAAAAGGTACAATCTTGATAGGAGGTGGCTTGATAGGAGGCTGTAGGAATACGCCCTAAGGCTAGCCTCTATATAGCCTAGATAACATTGAACACACATGTTTTGACAATACGCATTGGTATCCAGGGCCCACGATATCAGGGCAAAACATCCTGATTACCCTGATTTCAGGATGGTGTCTTAAGTTTGCCCTGGAATTTCAGAATGATGCTGAAATTTACCCTGTGACGTCAGGATGATCCTTGTGTTTTGCCCTGAAATTTCAGAATGGCAGTGAATTTTTGCCCTGAAGCGTTAGGGTGAATGTAGAGGGATTCCCTGACTCGTGGGAAGGGGAGAAAGGGTGGAGGGGGGAGAGAGGGAGAGGGAGAGAGGGGAGGAAGGAGGCTGGAGGGTGTGTGTGCTAGTTTTGTCCTCACCCCTCCCCCACCAATGTTTTTGCTCCGCCAGTAGAAGTGAAACCAGTGAACAACCTGCTCCTTTCGTGCCTTCCCCTCCATCCTCTCTAGTGCCTCGTATTTTTTGCCCTGAATCATCCATATGAATTTCTGCTGGTGCCCTGAAATTTCAGGATGGCCAGAAAATTCTGCCCTTAAGAATCAGGGCATTTCAGAGATTTTTCAAAAGTTACCCTGAGGGCTCAGGGTGTCCAAAATCCTAGCACAGGCCCTGTTGGTATCTACGGTAGCTGCCTGTGAATGTGAGCACAGTGCATACACGCATGATGAACCACGATGGTGAGCGAACTGGCAATGGATACCTGTACTTGCATGCATTTTCCCTGTGTGCACAAAGTTTTACAGGCTCAACGTGGTGTTCTCCATCGTTGCATTGACCGAGAGCCACCTTTTTTACTACAGTACCAGTGCTTCCATTCCTATCATCCTCCTCCATTAATGCCTAAGGCACAGCACAAGGGTTCAAAACCGCTAACAGGAGACACAAAGAGGTTGGATGAATACGACGAAGGATGACCACGCATGCCTCATGTATCCAACAGATTAGAGTTTGGCAGCAGCAGCATTGTCAGCAGCAGGCTTGAGGTCCACACGGTGCCATGAGTTGTTGAGCACACCCCTCAGGTTCCAAATGCTCTCCACATCCTCCGGCTGTGTGTTGGACGATGAATCCACCTGGGAAATAGCCAAGGGATGGCACCAAGCGGGTAAGATCCAACGACATGAAGCGGGAAAGATCCAAGGGACAATATGGTAACGTGGAGCATAAAACACAATGCGGGCAAGGAGAGGAAGAGAGCATGATTCACTGGGGTATTCCTTGCATGCTCCCAGTAGGGCTCACCGCACGAGCAACAATCTGGCATGGCGGAGTGACAGTGGCGTTCAGCTGCCACAGCACCCACGCCCACTTGAACCGCCCCTCTCCCTCCTCATCCGCATCTGCCACATACACACCGCCACCCTCCCCTGCTGCTGCCGGGCCTTGCAGGAGGCCAAGGTGGGAGGGGTTGTCAACAGTGTGGGGGAGGCGAGTGGCCTCCTGCCAGGTGGCACCTCCATCAGTTGACACCTCCACCCGCTCGATGCCACGCCCGCCGCCCACTGCTGCGTACCCCCGGATAGTGATCTGCATGGCATGGAGAGGGAGGAAAAGGAGATGCAGGGGTTGCGGTTGGGTGTTGTAGGAGGGAAGATGCGGGCGACTTGAGTGCAGAGCTGTGCAGGGAAATGCATGGGATGAAAGGGGAGATTGAGAGGATAGATGATGGGCATGAGTGGCAGTTGACAGCTGGGATTGAGGCAGTACAAGTTGAAGAGGAGGGGGTGAGCGCAGGACAGAGGGGTGAAGGAATGGCTGAGAGGTGGAGAGGAGAATGAAGGAGAAAAGGGAGGATAAGATGGGAGGAGAGGTCGAGACTTGGAGGAAGCTGAAATGCAAAAGGGAGGAGAAGTGGAAAGGTATGCAGAGGAGAGGAGAGGAGAGGAGAGGAGAGCAGTGGAGAGGAGAGGAGAGACTGCAGATTTCGCAAGGAATAATCGTGGCAGTGGCGTGAGTCAAGCTGAGAGCACTCACAGGACCTGGTTGTACTTCCTCCCCCACTGCAGGCTCTGTTATGGCCGACTGGAGGGAGGGGGGCAAATTGATGGGGTTGGGTGGGAGAGAAGATTCCTTGGGTGAGAAGCTATGCATGAACAATCACGAGAGGCTGTGGGGGTGCTGTGGACCAAGGCAATCTGAAGGAGCAAGAAGAGGGGAAAACATGCCCCGTTTCAAATGCTGCTCAAGATATGGCTGGGAAAGGATTAATACGCTGGGACATGGCTGGCATAGGATGCAGTCTTTACCTGGATCGGAAAGTCCATGATAGGGCGACGAGTGTTCCACTCGATGTTGTGCCAGTCAATGCTGGGGGGAAACATCTTGTAGTCGCGCTGCATGAAGAAGCCCTGCGACTCGTGCGACAGCACGTCAATGCGATCCAGCCACTTCACTGAACGCGCCCCGATGACCCCGGGAGCAACGATGCGCAGAGGAAAGCCGTGGTCAGGAGTCAAGTCCTGGGAGGCCGGGGGGGGGGGGGGGGGGGGGGGGGGGGGGGGGAGGGGGGGCGATCCGAGACAAGAGAGACACACTGATACAAGATAGACGAATGGCAAGATGACGACAGAATTCATGTTGCAAAAAGGCATGCAGAGGTAAAAATGACAGGGGCGGGTGGGGAGGGGGGGGGCGGGGCGGGAAGGAGAAGAAGCGCATGGGAGGAGGAAACGAGCATGTGCGAGGGTGGTGATGGTGAGTACAAGAAGAAAGCATACCTGTCCGTTCATCTGGTAGGCTAGAGCACATCCTGCTCCGGCGAGGAGAGGACGACAGGGAGGGAAGGGGGAGAAGACCATGGGAAGAGAAGAGGGAACGTGCATGCGAGAGGGTGGTGTACCTGTCCGTTCATCTGGTAGGCTAAGAGCACATCCTGCTCTGGCGAGGAGGCGTGGAGGAGTGGCAGCGACGCCTTGTAGGGCCCCCCCTTCTCCTCCTGGGAACCGAGAAGGAGAGCAGTGGACACGTGCGAGATGGAAGGTGAGACAGTAGACGACTGTAGCACTAGGTAGACGACCTCTTTTTCTGGAAAATCCTGTAACTCTTGACATTCTTAGCCCAACCATTCACATTCAGCTACACGTTCTGCACCACAAGATGCCAGAACACAGGGGAGCAGGCCTGGGAGTGAGCGAATCAGCGAGCGAGTGAGCGAATGAGTGAGTGCCGGGGAGGCACGCACTGGGCAGACGTCAACGCTGGCGAACTCCACGTGCTTGCCGCCAGCTGAGGTGCGCGTGGAGCGAGGCGCCACTCCCGCCAGCTCCAGCACGTGTGACACACGCACTCCTGTCCACGTGGCTGATGCCGATTGGTCAACAGGAGGGAAGGTCGAATAAGGGGAGGGTAGGTTCAGAAGGAAATGGGATTTGGAGAGTGGGGGGATTGAGAAGGAACGGGATAACGAGGGTGCGATATAAAGGCGTGGAGGTGCCAAGGAATTTGATGGGACAGAAGTGAATGGGTGGGCATGAGCATGAAAAACCACGTAAGGCGGCAAGGCGGGCAGAGGAGCAGGAGGGCAGGACAGGTGAGCAGGAGGGCAGGACAGGGGAGCAGCAGGAGTGTCAGACTCACCATTCCCGATGGCAGCCTGGGACCACCCCACGCCCTTGACCTTGCGCCTCGTGCTCATCTCCGTGCGCCTGTTGCCCGCACACTGGGGGACAAGGTGGTTGGGCAGGGCATGGTTTTTGAGTCGACTCTGCCCGCACACTGGGGAAAAAGTGGCTGGACAGCGCACGTGAGCGGAGGATGCATGAAGTGCACGAGGAGAGGCACGTGTGAGTGGGAGAGTCGAAAATAGGGCTTGCTTGGCAAATTAGCGTTGACGAAATGAGACGCGGGGAGCTAGGGTAGTCCGAAGGGTGTGGCGGAATAGGAAAGGAATATGCAGCTGCTCGTGCCTGCTGCACATGGGGGGCTGACAGCATGGGCTGACAGCATGGGCTGACAGCATGGAAAAGCCAACATGAAGCGACTCGGTGGGCTGATCATCGGCTCATGCGAGATTTGAGATGTGCCAAGAGGCCGTTGAGAGGCTGACGAGGGCTCACCATCATAGTGGCAACAATGGTTTCCGCTGGCATGGACCTGCAGTGGGTAGCGCACAGGCACGATATGATAGGAGCGACAGGCCTTGGGAGCATGAGAAGCGTGGTGGAGGTTTGGAAGCAACGCAAGGAGAAAGACGGTAGAGCTGGTAGAACAAACGATCAGAGATGCGGGGATGATGGATGAAGAGCACAAGTGTTGCTACAAACGGGTTGAATCGGGAAAAGGGAGCTCACTTGATGTCCTGTAGGGAGAGAGAGAGCGGCTTGGGCACGAGACCACCCACTTGCAAGCGATAGCTGCTCCGATGCGCACACCCATGCACGTGGTCGCGCACACACACTCACACATACACACAGACACATACACACACACACACACACTCATACACGCGCATACACACACCTCCGTACCCACACACACGCAGGCACGTGCGTGCACACCCCTCCCAGACACACAAGCACGCACGCATGCACACATACACAAATACACGTAAAGACGCAAAATGAGTAGAGCCGCAAGAGACGACACACTAGCCAAGAGCATCTACGCCCTCCTCACGCACTCTGGTGCCATATATTCCCACAGAGTATTATTGAGGAGGGGCTTGGAAAGACCTGCCTCATCAGCAGCACCATCAGCAACACCAAAAGCACCCGCAGCACCACCAAACGTGGGCCCAGACCAGGTAACGAGGTTTCGAGGTCCGACCGTCTGTTGCCTAACTCAAAGGACGTCTGACATTCCACGTGCCAGCGTTGCTGGCATCCGACGTGGCAGCGTCGCGTCGCCGTCCCACCTGTCAGCATCGTCCAGCACGGGCGTGGGCCCGTGGCTGCGCACGTAGAACGCGTCGGCGCCCGTGATGAACGCCGTTCCCAGCAGCGCGGGTGGAGTCTCCGCATTGTACGGCGCCTGTGGCGGCGATATGGGAGAGATATGAGCAGATTCCAGCGTCAGCCGGAACCACAGGAGCGAGGTTGAAATGAAACAAGGATCATATATTGACAAATTCAGGCATGAAGATAAGATCCAGAGAGCATTATCCAAGATCGTGGATTGATTCGCGAATTGCCGGTACGTCATCGCATCCTAGCGCGTAGCAAAATGATAGACCTTCGACCGACTTGCTGTAACTCAGATCTTTATTTGGAATGTCAGAGCCAGACCAGACGTAGGCAGGGGCGGGCGAACCTGGTGATTCACGATCATGTCGGGACGCCGCGTGGGCTCCGCATCGTACGTCGTGGGACCACGAAGACCCATTCTCAGGCTCGTAGCGAGCAATATGACAGGAAAAGCCAAGGAATCTTATTGCGCGTTACACACAGAGAGCAAAGCGACGCAATGACAATGAATGACTGTAAGCCCGCCGCAGCAGAAGCTCACGCTGGCTCTGGCGAAATCCAATTTCGTAATCTAGAAGGGTGACTTCAGCTGGCTGGTGGGAAGAGTGATCTTGGAAGGAGAGAAGAGGCGGGAAAGCAGACTCGAGAGAACCAGCCAGCACGGTGGTTGACGCGGCGCGTGCGTGGGTTCAGAGTATGGTTCCTATCTGGTTCACTACTGCTGACGTGTCGCGAATTCAGGCAGGTTTCAAGCAATTCGTACGTACGAGGACGCATTTCGCTGGGCAATGTGTCTTCGTTCGATGAACGATACCGTACGGTCGATGCGGTGGTGGTCTGCGGGAGGTTCGTGGGAAGTCGCGGCCCTCACGAACTTCATGCCGAGGCCCCTCCGATTGATTCTGCGCAGGTTCGATTTCTGGTTTGTTTTAGAAAGGTTCAAGTAGCTAATTCTGCAAAATGTAGGATTTTAGTACGTGTTACGAGTGCAATTGAGTGAACGAACGAGAATTGCACTATCGAAGCAAGAGTACAATGAGCGAAGGCATGAGCGCAGAATATATAGCGAAACTACAGTGGTAACGGTAATGGACTGTGGTTGTCGCGCGACGGGCCTGTGACTGAGGTTGGGAAAAAGTGTCGAAGCGGAGGCCCGGAGCGCGGGTTACCCGCCGAGCCGTGAGGTCGGGGTGCGATGTGGGAAGGTGGCGGGCGGATGGTCGATGCGATGGTTGCGAGTGGTAACGGTGCTGACTGTGATGTACGCGTTGAGCAGGGATGCGAAGTAAGGAAAAGGAATTTTCCTTACACTACCCCTTCCCTAAGGAGGTCCTTCTTACGAAAGTGCGTGGACATCCCTAAAATTTCGGTTGCGTAGATACTCGGTGAGGACGGGGTGGTTTTCGATTCTGTCCAGGGGAACCCAATTGTCTTCGGTGGGTGTACGGTCCTTCCAGCGGAGTAAGAACTCGATCCTTCGGGCTCCTCGAGAGTCGCGAACTCTGTGACTCAGGATTTTCTCGGGGATGACGATTGGTTCGGTTGGTGGTCTTGTCATGCTGGCTGGGCGATTGCATGGCAGTTGGCTCGTGGACGAGACGTAAGGGCGAAGTAGGCTGACGTGGAATGAGGGGCTGACGTACCAGTCAGCAGGGAGGAGGAGGTGGGCGGTGACGGGTGCAAGCATGTGGCTTATGCGAAATGGCCCGCAGTATCGGGGGCGGAGTTTCGGGGTGATGGGCAGTCGGAGGTTCTGAGTGTCAAGTAAAACTAAGTCGTCGGGCTGGTAAGTGACAGGTCTGCGGTAGCGGTCGGCGTTGCGTTTAGCGATGATGTTCGATTTTTTTATTACGTCTGCTGCCCGAGTCCGTGCTGCTTGTAATATTTCGGCGAACTCTTGTGCTCGTGGTACTGGGTTCTCGGGATTCGGGGTCATGGGTACTGTCGGGTCTTGTCCGTAGTTTAAGTAAAATGGTGACTGTTGGGTCGTAGCGGATGGCGAGTTGTTGTACGCGAATTCGATTAGTGGCAGTTGCTGTTCCCACGTGGTCGGGTCGTCACACGTGGCCTTGATGAGCTGTTCCATGGTCTGATTTGTCCGTTCTGTCTGTCCGTCGGTTTCGGGGTGGTATGATGAACTGAACTGTAGTCGCGTGCCGATCTGCTGCCACAGGTTCCGCCAGAAGTTGCTGGTGAATTTCGTGTCGCGGTCGCCGATGATCGCGGCTGGTATCCCATACAGTCGAACGACGGTGGAGATGAAGAGGCGTGCTGTTTCTTCGGCTGTGATTGATTTTTTGCAGGCTGCGAAATGTGCCATTTTCGTTAGTCGATCGACGACGACCAGGATCGCGTCGTTCCCACTCGCCCCGGCTGGTAACCCCGTGACGAAGTCTATCGTCACCTGCTGCCAAGCACGCTCTGGGGGTGGTATCGGCTGCAAGTGTCCCGCCGGCCGCTGTCGTGATGATTTCATGAGCTAACAAGCGGGACACGATGCCACGTGTCGTTGTACGTCGGTCAACATTTCGGGCCAGTAATAATACCGCTGCAGCTGCTGCCGTGTTTTTTCTACTCCGAAATGCCCCGAGGTAACTCCGTCGTGTGCCTCCTGTAACAGTAATTCCCGTAGCAGTGTATACCCAGGTACCCAAATGCGGTCAGTCCCGGTTTTTATGTAATGGACTCCCTTTGCTGCTGCGAACTGCTGCGAATTTCCTCCTGTGAAGAATGGATCCGTCTGGTACCCGTGGGTGAATAGGCCTGCCAGTAGCGGGCTTGTCTGGGCGAGTAGTATTGCGTGGATCTGGGCAGTGGGGCGGGTCAGTGCGTCGGCGATGTTCGAGGCTCCCTTTTTGTAAGTGACCGTGTAGTGAAAGTTGGACTCGAGGAAATCGAGCCAGCGAATTTGTCGTGGGTTGAGGTGTGGCTGTGCGCGAAGGTACTGTAGTGATTTATGGTCTGTCCGTACTGTCACGTCTGCGCCAGTCAAGTAACAGCGCCATACTTTGAACGCGTGCACGATCGCAAGCATTTCGCGGTCGTTTATCGGGTAATTTTTCTCGGGCGGATGCAGTTTTCGTGACTGGTATGCGATAGGTTGTAGGCCATTGCCGAAATCCTGTAGCATTACGGCTCCGATGGCGATATCGCTTGCATCGGTAACTACTTCGAATGGGCGGTGTGGGTCGGCGATGCACAGGACGGGCGGGGAACAGAGAACATTTTTCAGGGCAGAGAAGGCAGCATGCTCTTTCTCCCCCCATGTAAAAGCGACCCCCTTCCGCAGTAAGTCCGTCAGTGGGGCAGTTAACCGTGCCATATCGGGGACGAACCGACGCACATAATTAACGAACCCTAAAATGCTCTGCAGCTCCGTGATGTTCGTCGGGGGATGCCACGCTTTTACCGTATCCAGCTTCTTTCGGTCGATTTCAACTCCAGCCTCCGAAATAACGTGCCCCAAAAATTCTAACCTATCCTGGAAGAACTCGCACTTGGAACCCTTGGTCAGTAATCTGTGCTCGTCTAAAACCTTAAACACTGCTTCCAGATCTGCTAAGTGCTGCTGCTGATCCCTACTGTAAACTAGGATGTCGTCGAGGTAAACTATGACACATTTATCTAAGAGCGGCCTAAATGCCTCGTTCATGGTCATCTGAAAAGTCGCCGGTGCGTTGGTCAGCCCGAATTGTCAAACATTATATATGTTGTGTTAGTTAAGGCTACAGTGGGTTAGCCTATAGGGGGTACACAATTCTAGGGTTAGGTACTTGTACTCATTTCACTGCTAGTTGATTCATTCCTGTTCAGTGATTCCAACATGGTATAGAGCAGGTCCTTCCTAGGACCGAAATTTTCTAAGGGCCCACCACTACCTACCTACCTACCTGTGCCCTAGGGCGCCTCGGCGTGTCACGTCCCTAGAGGCCCCTCTTGACGGCCCCGCGCTAGCCCCGTTCAGGCCCCGTCGGCCCCTTTAAGGCCCTGTTCAGGCCCCGCGCTAGCCCCGTTCAGGCCCCGTCGGCCCCGTTTCAGGCCCCGTCGGCCCCGCGCTAGCCCCTCTCAGGCCTCGTCGGCCCGCGCTAGCCCCGTTTCAGGCCCCGTTGGCCCCGTTTCAGGCCCCGTCGGCCCCGCGCTAGCCCCTCTCAGGCCCCGTCGGCCCGCGCTAGCCCCGTTTCAGGCCCCGTCGGCCCCGCGCTAGCCCCTCTCAGGCCCCGTCGGCCCGCGCTAGCCCCGTTTCAGGCCCCGTCGGCCCCGCGCTAGCCCCTCTCAGGCCTCGTCGGCCCCGCGCTAGCCCCATTCAGGCCCCGATCGGGCCCGCGCTAGCCCCGTTTCAGGCCCCGTCGGCCCCGTTTCAGGCCCCGTCGGCCCCGCGCTAGCCCCGTTCAGGCCCCGTCAGCCCCTTGCTAGCCCCGTCAAGGCCCCGTTTGGCCCCGCGCTAGCCCCGCTCAGGCCCCGATCGGCCCCGCGCTCGCCCCTCTTGGGCCCCAACCGGCCCCGTGCCGACCTCGCCGACCCGTGCCCACCACCTAGAGGCCCCGGGCGGCCCGTCCCGCCGCAACACACGAGGGAGAGCGGGCGGCCCGTCCCCGCCGTGACCCGAGCCGCGCGCCCCGAGCCGAGCCGCGCGCCCCGAGCCGAGCCGCGCGCCCTGAACCGAGCTGCGCCACCCAGCCGAGCCGCGACCCGACCTGAACCGAGCCGCGCCGCCCTGCCCTACCTGGTTCGTCCTACCTGCTTCTCCTACTGCTACTGCTGCTATTTCTACTATTCCTGTGGCTAGCCCACAGGTTCTCGTGTTCGATGCTGAGGGCCGCCCTGTGAAGTTTGACACCTGGCTCGATGACCTGCACCTCTACCTACAGCTCACAGCCAAGGATGACATCTCACTGTACGATCACGCCCTAGGCCATGTCACTGCCCCTGCTGCTACTTCTGACAGCACTGCTCGCTCACAGTGGCAGACTCGTGATGCCCACGCTCGCTTCGCCATTCGCAACTCCCTGCCGATAGACGAACGCGAGCACTTTGGTCAGCACAAGACTGCACAGGCACTGTACACAGCTGTAGTTGCTCGCTACTCCTCACCTGCCTCTGCCGCACTAGGCCGTCTCTCCCTCCCCTACCTGTTTCCCGACCTGGCCTCCTTTCACACAGTCGCTGACCTCATCACGCACCTCCGTACTAGTGAGGCCCGCTTCCGTGCCGCCATGCCTGCTGAGTTCCTTGCCACGCACCCCCCTCCACTCTGGCTCACTCTCTACCACCTAGTCACCCGCCTCCCTGACACACTGCGCTCAGTCAGGGACCACTTCCTAGCTCGTTGCCCCACTGAGCTCACCATTGCCCTCCTCGAGAAGGAGCTACTTGCAGCTGAGACTAGCATAGACGCTGTAGGTGCCTCTCGTGGCGACC